GCTTTTTTTGTGATAAGATGCCGCGCAGTTACAGTAATGACTGTGAAAAACACACAGTTCTTTTCGCCCTGTCACAGCTGTTTTTTCGACCTCTTTGTCGGATAATACTATGTAGTGAATTATCATAAGCAGATATCTGGAAGAGCGCGGTGTGTATTGTAAAATTTAGATGTAATGCTAAGTGGCGAAGTCAAATCACAATTCCAGAAAAAAAAAAAGCTAACTGCGTCCAAAACAAATGGATACCGATCATAGTTCAGATCAACTACTGATCATAGTTCCGATTAATTTCGCGATTTTTGGATTTCAGGGTCTGTAATTTTGGAATTTAACCTCTAAACTTTTGTTGTCGAACTGTGCGAATTGAATAAATACCACAAACTCATACAAATGGATGTGGATGCGAATGCCGGTAACAATCATCAAAAATTGCGAGCGGGATTATCAATTAATTGCCCATCCAAGGAAGTAGCAAAGAAAACGAACTTTGGTAAATCGGTTTCAGTGGATCTTGGTGCCATATTTCCACTAAATAATCGAAGGACGTCAATCCTCGACTCAGTGCTGCGTTCACAGCGTTTTTCGGTGAAGGAGCGACTAAAACGGTAAAGTTTTTATCTTCAAGGCATGTGTTGGGGTGAAATTTACTATATTTTCACCAGATATTCTTACATAACCATATATATACGTACATATATATACGTACTAAACCATATATATACGTACATAAGACCGCCCCGGGCTATTAAGATAGGTTTCCGGATTGGTAATGTTACTAGGATGTCCCCACAAGTCGGGTAACCTTTCAATCCTAGGCAGCATACTTCAGTTGGCATTCACTGTTTGCCCACTTCGATTTTAATGTCTTTGAAATGCCCTGGAGTAGTGGCACAATTGCAAATCGAAACTAAATTTAAGTATATAATTCTTTATATGGAAATAAATATTTCGACAAAATTTCAGCCATTCTTTTCCAACTAGTTCTAGGGTTGGCATATTGCCAATTGCGATGCTTGATGCGATTGTACGTATGATGTAAGCGTGTGTGTTAGCTGAACATGAATTATTTATCTCATACATGCACAGAGGATAGCCCTAAAGTTTCAACTTTTTATCTTGACTAGTTCTTGAAATCGCTTCCTGCCAGAGAAATTTTCATATTTTTTCGGGGATCCGTACGCGAAATCTAGGACCGTTTGAGCGATGATTTCATGACAGAAGGTGATACATGAAATGGAAATGTGCCCACAAAATTTCAGCCCCTCGTTTTCCTGGCTGGTGAGTTGAAAGTGAGTCACGAAGTTCACTTGTTTTCGAGCACACGCACATACATACACACACACACACACACACACACACACACACACACAAAGACGGCCTCTCGATAGTATGCGTTTTTGTTGTGGGCAAAAACGCAAAAAAAATGTCGAGAAGCTCATTTGTCCTGCTTATCGTTGAGAACAAGCTGTGCTGGAAAGTCATGCATTTCCCTAGTCTCAGTAGCCAAAATTTTTAACTGCTAACACCAAATTCAGTCTTTCAGTCTCACCCAGCAAGACTGTTTTTGGACCACGGTTGAAGCAGTTAGAGAAATTCCGTAGCACAGCAGTACTAACAGTCTGGAAGAAAAATGAA